AGCTGAAAAATGACATAATAGGCTCCAATTAAAAGATCCAGGGAGTCTCATGTGAAGAGAGGCTCATGAACATTCCTGCAGCATTCCTGATTCAACCAGAAGTGAATCGGGAACAGTTGTACCCTGTAACCATCTTCATTCAGGAAACTACAGATTAAAGTTGGGGTTTTTTTGCTGAATAAATATTAACTGATAGAAGAGAATACATTAAATCCCACGTACATAGTTGGAATGAAATAAATTTCTTAGTTGAGATTGGAATTATTTTATACCTTCATAACTTAGAAGATCTTCTGCAAGCACGAAGCCTTTGTCGAGGTTTACTGCCTCAAATTTTCAGAAGTGACGTGGGTTAGCACCAGAATTAAACGGATCCTTTCTTTGCCCCTGGTGGCAGCTTTTGCACCATGTTGCATTCAAACAAACTGATCATGTATCTCTGCCTCAGTGCTCACAACGTTCAGGCTCTTTGATGCAACTTTAATGCGCAGAATAGCTCAGCTGCTTAACCCTACAGTATAAGCTTATTATGAACAGACATAAGCAATACGAAAATTACTCTACATGGATCATTGAACTGTCACATTATTCTTATACAACGCTGACACGCCAAGACCTGGGAAGAGCTCACACTGAAGCCTGACAATGATTAAAGGAAAACATCCTGACACCTAAGAAGGAGAGAAAAGAAGATCAAACACGAAAGCCGAGTGAAAGATGATGCTTAGCCTCCAGCCGAACTCTTAACGTGGGTTTGTCACAAAGTTGGTGAGGGCATTTGGTGCTGTGGCCAAATCACAAGGTCTAGACCACAGCCAGAGCAGTGAGCTCGAGTTCATACGCCCAAAGCTGATCTTTGATCTGACCAGACGAGGCAGCCAAGAAAAATACCACCAGACAATCCTTTTCACGCTCAACTTAAGCTCAAACATTCTCACAATCCTCGTTCCTCTCATTAGAAAGAGCCGAGCATGAGTCTGCATTCATTAATGCAGTTATTGTTCACTGATTAAGTCGATTAAGAAAGGACCCCCCGGTCAGAGTAATGTTTACTTGTGCCTCCAACTACCATGGCTCAAGCAGGGAATTGCAGAGTGAGTGATATACATAAGTGCAATTTTTTAAAAACACAATTTGATTGACCAGCATTTCAAAGTACTTCCACTTTTGAACTTTGACTTTCAGTTAAATATGACATTTTATTAGTATTTTCTCTTCCACCGCAATTATTTCTCCTTCCCTTTTAAAATTTAATTCAATTCAGGTTTATTTATATAGCGCCAAATCACAACAACAGTCACCTCAAGATGTTTTATACAAAAAGGTAAAGACCTACAGCATACAGGAGGAAACCCAAATAATCAAATGACCCCCAAGTGACCCCATATGACCAAGTACTTAGGTTGGAGAAGGAATGCAGTCTGATCTCGCAGGAGCTGAGCGGCCTCTAGCCAAATAACTCGTGACTCTATTGTTAACCGCTGACCCTTTGTGGCACACAAAGCTTTTCCAGGACAGCAGCACTGCTCACATAGTCTTGTTTGGGTGCAGCGTGGATAGATACTGATGGTGCGGTCATGAGAGCACGTTAAAGATAGATTTGTTGCTAAATGTTACTTTTAGTGACATTACGCTTACTGAAAAATAATGAACCTCTGTTTGGACATAAATCAGGTGCCCAATTACAGTATATCAGTAGTGTTTAAAATGTGTTAGATCAGTGCTGCCCTCCTATGGCCATTTGGGAAAACAACAACAGGTTCCAATCTGACATAGTAATAAGCACATGATTGTTTGAAATGAGTTTTTGTCTTTTTAAACTTGTAAATGTTAATTGGATTGTTCTTTTCTATTCTGTCTACCTGAGCACTCAAAGCGCTATATACAACTTGCCTTATTCACCCATTCATACAAGCACTTTTTTTCTATGCATAATTGCTTACTATCTAACATTGACACATTCATACCCTGATGAATGCATTGGAGAGCAATTTTGGGTTACTATGTTGCCAAAGGATATTTGGCACCTAGAGTGGAGCAGCCCAGGACTCATACCACCAACCTTCCAATTAGTAGATGACCTGCTCGTCCTCCTGAGTTACAGCCACCCCAGCTCGTCAGGCTACCTGAAGCCTGCCTTCATCACTCATTTTCAGAAGAATGCCTTTTTGTTTCTTAAACCACCTACTGCTGACCATGAATGATTAAGTATATAAAAGAAAAAGGTAAAATTGTATCTTTAGTCACTTTGTTACCAGCAGGCTGTCACAAAAGGCACATAATTTATTCCAATTTCTTAAGCTGAACTTATGAAAAGAGACACAAATGACCCAATTTGACCTATAATATAATATTGTCGCACAAAAAAGGTGACTACCAGAGATATTAGCTGAAAATGTGAGATATCTCGGTGTAGTATGAAGTGTTTCCTTAAAAATAAAACAGATGAAACAAGTGGAGCGAAAAAGAACAAGGATCAGGCCTTAAAAACTATCAACAGCAGGTGAGCAGAATCTGAAAGTCATCCATCTACTGTTCACTGAAGCATCTTCAGAAATGGTCTCTGGAAGGGTGGCTGCCAAGAAGCCATTCTTAAAGTAGGGAAACAGGCAGAAAAGACTGAGGTGTGGCAAATTACACAAGAACTGAAATAAAAAAATCAGTGGCAACAGGTCTAAAGGAGTGAAGAATCCAAATTTGACATTTTTGGTTCAAATCGTTATCAATGTGTACAGAGGAGGTCAGCAGTGAGTGTCTACAGCCATCTGTAAAACATGATTGAGACTCTGTCGTGGTTTGGGGTTGCATATCAGCTAAAGGTATTGGGGATCTTGTCAAAATTGATGAAATTACAGACACAGAAAAGGATTTTGATCCACCACGTAATACCAACAAGAAATTTATTAAAAGCACACTGAGATAGAAACACAAACACCGGAATACCAACAGTCATGGATTGGCCTCCTCAGAGCCCGAGCTCAAAAGTACTAAAGCAGTGCAGAAAAATCTTGACAGAAAGCAGAATAAAAGGCAGCCAACATCCGAGCTTTGAATGTGCTGGAGAACTATTCCTGATAACGACTTAAACTAAAGACAAGAAAGAGATATTGCCATTGAAGCTCATTAGAATTGTACAAATTGTTTTTGTCTTATATACTGTATTTCCAATCATATAATATGGTGTATTGTATTTTGTAAATCACTGGACCCATTTTCCTGCCAAACAGCACTACAGGGAGTGCAGAATTATTAGGCAAATGAGTATTTTGTCCACATCATCCTCTTCATGCATGTTGTCTTACTCCAAGCTGTATAGGCTCGAAAGCCTACTACCAATTAAGCATATTAGGTGATGTGCATCTCTGTAATGAGAAGGGGTGTGGTCTAATGACATCAACACCCTATATCAGGTGTGCATAATTATTAGGCAACGTCCTTTCCTTTGGCAAAATGGGTCAAAAGAAGGACTTGACAGGCTCAGAAAAGTCAAAAATAGTGAGATATCTTGCAGAGGGATGCAGCAGTCTCAAAATTGCAAAGCTTCTGAAGCGTGATCATCGAACAATCAAGCGTTTCATTCAAAATAGTCAACAGGGTCGCAAGAAGCGTGTGGAAAAACCAAGGCGCAAAATAACTGCCCATGAACTGAGAAAAGTCAAGCGTGCAGCTGCCAAGATGCCACTTGCCACCAGTTTGGCCATATTTCAGAGCTGCAACATCACTGGAGTGCCCAAAAGCACAAGGTGTGCAATACTCAGAGACATGGCCAAGGTAAGAAAGGCTGAAAGACGACCACCACTGAACAAGACACACAAGCTGAAACGTCAAGACTGGGCCAAGAAATATCTCAAGACTGGTTTTTCTAAGGTTTTATGGACTGATGAAATGAGAGTGAGTCTTGATGGGCCAGATGGATGGGCCCGTGGCTGGATTGGTAAAGGGCAGAGAGCTCCAGTCCGACTCAGACGCCAGCAAGGTGGAGGTGGAGTACTGGTTTGGGCTGGTATCATCAAAGATGAGCTTGTGGGGCCTTTTCGGGTTGAGGATGGAGTCAAGCTCAACTCCCAGTCCTACTGCCAGTTTCTGGAAGACACCTTCTTCAAGCAGTGGTACAGGAAGAAGTCTGCATCCTTCAAGAAAAACATGATTTTCATGCAGGACAATGCTCCATCACACGCGTCCAAGTACTCCACAGCGTGGCTGGCAAGAAAGGGTATAAAAGAAGAAAAACTAATGACATGGCCTCCTTGTTCACCTGATCTGAACCCCATTGAGAACCTGTGGTCCATCATCAAATGTGAGATTTACAAGGAGGGAAAACAGTACACCTCTCTGAACAGTGTCTGGGAGGCTGTGGTTGCTGCTGCACGCAATGTTGATGGTGAACAGATCAAAACACTGACAGAATCCATGGATGGCAGGCTTTTGAGTGTCCTTGCAAAGAAAGGTGGCTATATTGGTCGCTGATTTGTTTTTGTTTTGTTTTTGAATGTCAGAAATGTATATTTGTGAATGTGGAGATGTTATATTGGTTTCACTGGTAAAAATAAATAATTGAAATGGGTATATATTTGTTTTTTGTTAAGTTGCCTAATAATTATGCACAGTAATAGTCACCTGCACACACAGATATCCCCCTAAAATAGCTAAAACTAAAAACTACTTCCAAAAACATTCAGCTTTGATATTAATGAGTTTTTTGGGTTCATTGAGAACATGGTTGTTGTTCAATAATAAAATTATTCCTCAAAAATACAACTTGCCTAATAATTCTGCACTCCCTGTATATGGCAAAGACCTGTTGTGGTGGGACGCGTCTACCTGTAAATATAGCATATGGTGATGCCTAGGTTGGTTCAGTCCTATCTCGTGGTCCTGGTGACTTTCTCTCCTGTCTCCCTGTATACTAGCAAGGTGCTTAACTGCCCTAAAACAATAAACAATGGAGACGTAGATTAGCTCTTAATAACACAAACTCAAAGATAACCAAACAGACCAAGTTGAGAAGGTATGGCTTTTAATTTTTTTTTTCGTCACAAAGTTTGTTTACAAAAAAAACAGGAACATCAAAAATAAAATTGTACCTATCTATTGCATGTCATGCTGGCAGTTTGAACTACATGCAAAAACAACAATAATAATAACATTGATAATACTCATTACTGTACAAAAAAAATAAAAAATAATGGGCAATATATCGGGCCAAACATCATTTTAAGCCAAAAGAAAAACACTCATTGAAAACAAGGAGAGTTCTATAAAAAGGGTGCTTTTCCCCCTCCAGACGGAGTCATGTGTTTGTACATGAGACTTAAACCGGGGCACAAGACTCGAGACTCGAAAACCACCCAAGCCGAGAGGGCTGTGTGAAACTGCATAGAGGCAGAAAAAAGTTTCCCCACTCTAAGGACAAAGGGATGGGGGGGGAGAATAATCAGAAGAGTAAGGATGAATGTGCGTGTGCTTCCATCGCAAACATCACATTCACAAATAGCCTGTACAGTTTGAAGCCCTTACAACGTAAAGTCATGCGTCATCATCATTATGGAAAACACAAACTACATGAAAATATCCTTAAACCTCAACCTCTTCACTATCCCTTAGATTGACTTGGTGTATAAAGTGATATCTGAGGTATATGGTTTAGTTTTATCCAACTACATGACAAACAATGAGTAAGGTGGGTTTTTTTTAATAATGATAATAAAAAATAATAATAATTAAAAAATAAAAATAAAAATAAACTTCCCATGGCTACCCTAAACCTAGAGCAGCTTCTGTAGACAAAGACGGACATTTTCCAAATTCATTTCCAAATGAAGAGCAAGGTGTGAATCAACACTTTATAGTCTAAAAATCTGTAAAAGGTTGGAAATGACGGGAAGAAAAATAAATTTAGTCTGTGCAAAGACTGTTGTCAGGGACTGTGGAAGTGGATGCACAACGTAAAGTCATCCATTCAATAAGGGTGACACAAGCACAAGATTGGATGATTATAACGTATGATTGTGAAAGAGTCAATCAGCGTCCCTTTGGTTTTTGATCCAGTGTAGTAAATTTATTACAAAACATGAGTGTTACAAGATTTCAGGTCCCTCGTTGCAATGAGCCGTGCTTAAAATGAATTATTGAGAGTCCTTTTTGTCAAAGTTGATGGCATCCGTCTGCATCGCGTGGGCTGGTGTGCGTGCTGTATGTGTGAGAGGAGAAAGTCTCCTGGCAGGGCTCATTCAGTGCTGACCTGCGTGACCTGTGTGTCAGTTGTCTGGTTGGTAGACTGGATGAACATTGGCTGGGTCAGCTCCTGTCCTGCTGGCATTGTCACCTGCTGTATCTGATACAATTGCTGAGAAAAAGGAGGAAAGATGGCGAGGTTTAAGGTTGCGTGTGTTCAGTTTTCTGTGGGCTTTTTTTTTTATTAGATCTTAGTGGATTACACACCTTTCATTGTTACAAGATGACATTAAAAATGCTCAATAAGACATTTAATTTATGATCTTCTGATAACAATTCCCTCTACTGTTTGAATTAACAGGATTTAGAAGTGCAAATGTCCACTGGTTATCAGCCAGTTGTTTAAGTAGTTAAAATGAGACAATCCAAGAAAGATAGAAAAGCGTAAATAAGAACAATGTGCCATTTGTCACCTGAAAACAAATAAAACACTAAAATTTCAAAATTGTATTTATTTGTTGCATGTGTTACCTGGCCATCAGTAAACTGGCTGAATTGCTGCTGTCCTTGTTGTACTTCTGTCTGTGTGATCTAAAGAGAGAGCAAGTTATTAACTCACTGGGATTCACAAGCAGCTTCATACCATAACTGACAAGTGTAAACACATCCAGTCATAGTTTATTACAGCTAAGTGCTTGGACATCAGCTGGATTTCTTGCTGTTGTAGGGTTACCTGCTGGGTGTTTGCAAGAGTCTGAATCTGCCCCTGGACCACTTGTGCTCCAGAGACGGGCTGGGCTAGGCGGATGTATTGCAGCTGTCCCGTATTTAGTTGTACCTACAGCCAACCGACACAAGGGGGAGACAAAGTTTGGTTTAGAGAAAAGGTCATTTGAGCAGAGAGGTCACAGCCATTTTCCTGCTCTGGACTACAGGAATGAGAAACCTTAACGTTCCTCTAGTGAATTTTTAACCTTTTCGAACTTAACAGCTCACATCAAATACTGATGAATGTTAAATTCACATGTTTGTCTTGCACCACAATATCAAACAACATCATGCAGCAAACACATTACACTGTCCATCATCTCTCTTTAAAAAAAACAAAACTGATAATTTCCTTTTCCATCCTGTCATTTCTTACTGGGATTTGCTGGATCTCTCCAGTGTTGGTGATGATCTGCTGCATGACCTGCATGGTCTGGCCTTGGGCTTGAGCTGTCTGAGCCTGACCCTGGGCTGTGGCAGCCTGGACAATCTGCACCTGCTGGCCTTCACCCACCTGCATGGCGACAGGCGCACTCTAAAGCAGACAAGAGCAGAAAAGAGAAGAAAACACAGATAAACAAACAGACGACACCGGTTGTTTACGTAGCAGAAGCGTGTAGTTAAGCAAGGAAGCAGTAAATCATTATCTTTTCTGGAGTACAATCAATCTTAAACCAAGAGTTGGAAGCCTAGGTATCCTTAAATTTTAAGTCTGCGAGTAGCTTATTAAGCAGGCACAATAAGATTCAGGGACATAACGTGAAAACGCAGGTTCGTCCTCTCTCTCTGTTTTGTCTGCAGGTGATGTTTGTTAGGATCATGTGACAATCACCCCTAAAGACCTCAGTCATCTGAGCAGGACAGAGTTTGTAGGCGGCCATCACCTAAGAGGCTGTGGCACAAAGCAGTGGCCTCTTTCTCTGTGTGTGGTTAGCAAACATATGAAAGCATGTGTGTTTACCGTGATGGGCGTGCCCTGTGATTGCACCTGCACCTGCTGTAACTGCTGCATGGTGGCACCTTGCAACATCTGATGGCCGACAGAAAAGAAATGGGAAAATGAGAGAAAGACACATAGTGAGAAAGCAGCGAGTGCACAAACTCAACACAAAAACGTAAGCGGAACTGGCACGTATGCAGAGAAAGATTGAAATGTAGGAGCAGCAAACAGTGGCATATAGGCAGTTGATGACATTTACGAGCATGTTTATGAAATATGCAAGTAAAACGGGAGGAGGTTGATAAAAAGGATGATGTGAAATGATAAAAATTAAATTGTTAAAAAAAAAAACACACACACAAAAAGAAAACATGGTGGTAACTGAACAGGTAGTTAAAAATGTATAAAATACATCACAGTTGCATTTACAGAAGCTCAACAAAGGCCAACTGCAGATTTTAAGTTGTTGAGGGTTGTTGGCCTGAGAGAAAAGTGACAGAATCGGTACAGCACTGACAGTTAGTGACGCTGAAAGCACCACACACAGACGCACAAATAAAGGATGTGAAATGGGAACTCGCCTCATTTTAATCTCTGCACTGACTTATACTTCTTCATCCTGCAGGACTACTGCTAACACCTTAATGCGCACTCCAAATCTGTTGTACCAAACATGACATCTGTCTGATGAGTTAGAAGTAATCCAATCAGCTCCGTCTTTCACATGGGAATTATGTCATTTGAATAGACAACTACGTAACCTTTAGTCCTGACATTACTAAGTGGATAAAAACAATCAGAGAAATGTTGCAAAGCTTCAAAATTTCACAGATTTTAATTTAAAACGGAGTTAAAATCTCACCTTTTTGAAGTGGCACCTTGTAAACAGTCAAAGATTGCGTTTACATAAGGTTAATGTCAAAGTGTGGCTTGGGACTGCAGCAGGAGCAGGAGTGTGAATCACACCAGGTCTAAACAAGTATGACAGCTCAGCTACAGGCAGTGTGCTGAAGCAGCATGAAGCATCACACCAGCCCAGCAGCAAGGCTACATGACATGCAGAGTGCAAACCGGAGAGGAGGAGTGCTCAGCAGAAAAAGTAGCAGGAATGAAATAATTAGAGAGATGAACTGAATGGTGCCCCTACATATGTGTGCTTGTTATCTCGATGGGTGGTGAAAATGCAGAACCCTCAGGAGAAAAACCTCATCCTAGGACTCTGAGTGTGTATTTGTTTGTATATAAATGGGGATGTTGTTCCATTAAGAGGTTATTGATTCACAGTTTCTCCTGTCTTTTAGCTCAAACAGGAAGTATTTATGAAGTTGAGGACAAGTTTCTAGGGCAGAATATACCCCTCTCTCACTAATATGATATGCTGCTATACAACGCCTCTATTTTGGACTCAATATTACAGTAACTGTGTAAATTACTTAATAAGACGTATTTAAAGTTGAGTAAATAAGAGATCAGGGAACGTTCTGTTCCCTGTGTGCAAGGTGTCCATGTATGTGTAAAGCTGGATTTGCTGGGTGTGTTTCGATGCCGTATTAATCCTGCTGGCAGGAGAGTGGTCAGCTCCTACATGTTAGCTACGAATAATATCAATAAATCCAGTGAGTCAATCCAAGAAATATGAGACTCCTAGGACTTCTAGGAAGAGGACTTCTAGAAAGAGGTCATCTTTCAGGTGTTACTCCAGCACACAATGAAACCAATTTTTTTCCCCCTCTAAAGTACCATACATGAGTCTAACGGGGATTTTGCAGAATTTGTTTTTGCAGGTGGTTTCACTTTGAGTGTTTCCTTGCGACGTGCACTACAAAGCACATTGCTAACCGTACCTGTCCCTGTTGCGGCTGTGCGATGATGATCTGTCCGGGCTGGATGGTCGCCGCTGTCTGCGCAGCAGGTTGCTGGCCCTGCTGTGTGCCCTGCACCTGCACGGCTCCGGGCTGCTGGGCCAAGGTGAAGTAGTACTGCACTGGCTCTGCTGGAGCTACAGACTGACGCATCTCCTCCTGAGAAATATACACACATTGGACGCCTATCAGTCCGTTGCATCTCCATGAATTATTTTTACCGGTGTAACGGTAGACCGAGTCTGATAAATAACTGATGGGATGTGACTGGGGAAGAGTAACGTAATCTGGGTACAAGATCCATCCATACTGGTTGATAACATGCAATGCAAGTCCGGAGGCATGCTGAGGTGATGTGTTGGTGCTAATCAGCCTTAAAATTTCAGTATTACAACCTGTAATGCTAAAGGGGTAACTTACAAATCGAATGAAACTTAATAATGTGATAACCGCTGGCATGCTTTCCCTGGTCCAGCAACAGAAATGTAACATCAGGGTTGTCAGATAAATCAGGGCAGTTCAGCACCTTAAATGCTGAGCTGGTATACAGGTGTTAAACTTAAAACCCAATAAACTGTCCATAAACACCGACCCATATCATTTTGTTTTGTAATTCACTAATGAGCAGGCTTCGTCTGGATGAGGTTTCTCCATCACCAGAAGCGTAAACACCCCTCTCCCAGCTCCATGACAACACAGCTGAGAGTGTAGGATGTTTACATGTCTGGAGACAGTCTACGTGACAGCAAATTTAAATATCTCACTCCTCCACCTTTGAAAGTTCCTTATACATCAATTTAATGTAACTGATATTGGCCATTAATCGCCTGCCATAACATTTTAAGCAGTTTTTTTTCAGCATCTTCATTGAGTCATGTCCTGACCGGAGCCATGGTTTTAACACTTTGTTATAGCAGACACTGTATGGTACCAGCTTCCACAAACTAGTTTAATCACTGAGGTTACTGTTGGCGGTCTGAGGCAATAAGACGCTGCAAACATCCGACTGAAAGCCCTCGCTGTCAAAACCTCAGCTTCCAGTCAAGGATGTTTACAGCACCTCCAGGTTGCCAACAATGGAAAGTACCTGAGATGAATACCCAAATCATCAGCTCTTTATCCTGTGGTAACTTTAATGAGATACCAGCTGTTTCCCTGTCACAGTGTAGGTAATAAATACTATAATGAGGCCGCTTTCCTACCTGTCGTTTGGGGGGCTTCAGGTCGTCCCGGGGCACGATGTCAATCAGGAAGTCAAACTGGTCGAACTTTGTTATTGCCATGGCAATGTCATTCCTCTGTGAATATAAAATATAAAGAGAAAGTCAAGCAAAGAGGTCAGAGCTTTAGTATGCCAATTCTATATGCGCAGCCACCTATTTATAAACATGCCTCTAGGTCTGAGGTCATCACTCCCAAAACAACCAGACAAGGGAGATTTGTATACAGTTCCTAGTAGTACTTAGATGGGTGTTTGGTTTAATATTTGAATTTAAAAGATATGTTTAGAGCTTAATCAGTTAGTCAGCTCAAAACTCTAGCAACACATGCAGTATACAAAAGGACTGTGTTTCTAGACCAACACATCTTCATGAGTGTTATCATATAAAAAGGTATTAAGCAGGGAACCAAAAACACCGTAACACATTCATCCACATGCAAATCGACCTCTAGGGCACCCAAGCCAAAACATGCTGATCTACCCATAAACGTCTTTGTTCTACACAAGTTTTGACTTCTAGCAGATCAGATTGATGATTAATTGTGCAATTCAAGTAACACTGTCTCCAAACAAAACATTACTAAAGGCAAACGGAATAATAAACCCACCACTAGAGGACCACAGTGAGAAACGCACATGTGTGTGTGAGATAAGTGTAAATGAGGACGAATGACATTTTCCTGCCCTCATGAGCACATTCTCTGCTTCTATACCCCTTCCTATATCCACACCAGTGTGCTGTCTCTGTGGAATTTTCCACAGGATATTGGCTGTCAGGACCCCCCACCCCCCTCCATTGTGACCCTCCCCTTCACTAGAGGCTATATTTAGTACCTTGATTAATATCTGGTAACATCAGGTCACATCCACACTTGTTCTATTGATGAGCGTTGCTATGGTGACCCCAATTGGCGTGCCCTCTTCACAAAAGGATCAGACTCTACATGTGTATGCGTGTGGAAATGGAGGGCACCACTTTCCCTCACTTAGGGAAATGAAAAAAAAAAAAAATCCTGTATTCATGAAGTGAAGCATCACATGCAACTAATGCGTCATCTGTAGTGTACAAGGCAATTAACGTGTGTACAGTCACAGTAGATGAAGTTTCTATTTTAAAGTGTGCACTGCAGAGCTCTAAAAAACTGTTTCTTGACCAATAAAAAACATAGAACTACCATTTGGGACAGAGCTATATTAACAGCAAAACGAGTGTACTTCCAAAGCAGGCCTTCAGCACAAGACAAACTGTGATAAGATAGATTTTCTCCTTTTTCTACCTGTGTTGGCATACACAAACATATCCATGGACTGCTAATCTCTCAGAGGTATGTGAATGGATAAAGTGGACTTAAGGGCTTTCATGTTCTGCTCCACAGTTTTTCTCTACTTGACATGCAGGTGAGACATATTCCAGACTAATTCTTCTCAACCGCTTCAGTCAGTGCTTTCATGTTCTCCGATTCCTTTTTCATCCGTATCTTTCCAGGCCTCACCTTTATTCAGCTCTGGTACAACAGAGGATGCTAAAAGGCACCAGGGGAAAAGTGGGTCACCGGCACCCGCCTGGATTAGCTTTTAAAGTGAATGGAGGGAGAAGGAACTTAACAGAGAGACCGTCCTCAAGGGGATGCTGGTATGGGGTCTCTGCTTGTACATGCACACTGACACTGGCACTTAGTGAATAAGAAGCATGAAACCAAAAAGATAGCCAATTGATGTCAGAGTGTGGGAGTGTGGGTATTACAACTGGGTCTGTGTGTGTATCGGGAGGTCCAATCCACTTAAAGTAGGATTTGCTAAGGATTACAAAAAAGCATGTCATATGGAGGAGTTTAAATATAAAGAAAAAGAAATGTCTATAACCTGTAGTGTGCGTCGCTTGTTGTCCTCGGTGTGGATCCACGCCCTGAGGGTGAGCTCTGTGATGAAGATCTGAGCTGCTTTGGCAAACAGGACCGGAGCTTCTGCGCTGATCATCTGTACAGTAGAGATAGTGTTACACCTGGTTAAACACACCCACCGTCCATCAATCAAACATCAGCAATTACACGAATCGCTCAGGACCTCAGTCACAGCCGGCCACATCAAAGTCACAGCTGCTGCAAAAATAACCAACAGATACATTCACTTGTTAAATAAAGACTGCGTAGTTACTAGCATAGATGCTTACGCAGAGTTGAGTGGGTACTTTTAATCTATTTCTTTCTGCTCATAAGCACTGAACTCTAAAATCAATTCCCATAAAATTGTATTTCTTATATGTTCATAAAAGCAATGCTTAAATGAACAGTTGTACTGACGCTATAACACTCACACATGCTTGCACTGCATCTGTGCAAGGTGCTGTGTCAGGACTGACAGAAGAGTCTTTCCTTCAGATATGTTAGTGATCTCCTGATCTCTTTACCGCTGTAAGCTGCTGCTTAACTAAGGGGATAGCATTCTTGACACGACATACTCAAGCCACACACAAACACAGAGCAGAGGCTTTCTTTTTAGAGGCTATGAACAATTATGACTGACAATCAGGTGTAATGGGGGGGGGGGGAACCACTCCTCCATGACTCGTAACTGCCTGGTGGAGTGGATCCTTCTGACACATCAAAAAAAAGAGAAAAAGCCACGTTAACCTGAGCAGATCTTCAAATGTAACAGTGGTATTACAATATGGCCCAAATCAATGCTTTTATCTGTAATAACTTGTGATATTCTTCTGGTTCATTTTAGCCATTAACATGAAGTGCAATTCCCAGCAAAGTGGGTTATATTTTAAAAATTCCACAAGTGGAAAAAGAGAAATCTTAAAACCAAAAAGCAGTTCACTGCTACAAATGTCTGCATTAGCAGCTTTCTACATAAAATCACATTAATTAGCTACTTGCTACACTGCAGGTCTTGCAACGTCACAAAATGATGCCCAATTATTCCTTCACGCATCGATAATGTTTTAACGTAAACCCATTTCATACAAAAAAAAAAAGAAAAAAAGAAAAAAAAGAGCTACTATCACCAGTGGCTGCTGAATGCAAAGAGTTGATACAACTTTTTAATTGAAAAATTATCTTTAATTATGAAATAATAATTGCATCTTTGAGTCCATTTATTGAGTGGTCGGAGCACAAAAAGCCACAGACCAACAACTTGATAAGAACCAAGCTTCAAATGAATCAACAATTTCCAACACAGCAATACGTTTTTGTCAGAAAATAAAGTTAAACTAGAAATATCAAACGGGTGACCAATTAAATGAAAACAACAGAACTACATTTTGCCATAATTGTAGTTTCTTCCATATAGATGGATCACGACAGGTCACCGTGTGGTCTGGTATGTGAATTATATATTATGTAACTTCACAGTTACCAGACACAACCCAAATCACCAGCTATGGAACGTTTTGACCCAACGCGCTGGACAGAGCTCTTTATTGCACGTCTGTCAAAAAACACCACGAGAAAATATATCTGCAGGGAAGTGGAGTATCACCTCACAAGATACTTTTTTTTTTTTTTTTTTTATTTTTATTTGGAGGGCCTAGGATTAAGCTACATGTTTCCCACTTTTGATAGCATGTTCTTTAAAACAAGTATGGCACACCCTTCGTGAAAGGCATAGTAATAAAGATATCTAGTTCTTTTTAATACACACCCTCTCTCTCAGTTTCATTATTCAGGTTCTCCTCTTACCTTCACATCCTCATCCAACTTCATGATTTTCTTGATTCGGGCTAAAGGCAACTCCTGCACACGGAAATCCTTCTGAGGACAACAGATTGATACAGTTAAGTACAGAATAAAGCTGAAACTGCGACTTTTTCCTTTTTTTCTGTATTATTTGTCTGTTTGCATGAGTGTTACGTACCACAGTCAAGTTCCTGATCTCCTCCATGACACGAGGCCAGAAGGACTGCAGTGTTTGCTGGGCATCGCTGCCCGTGGCTCCAAAACCATCTCCAGACATCTTCTAATCTGCTCAAAGAGAAGAAGAGAAAGAAGATGATGGATACAAGAAAATGATCGATCATTACAAAGCAAAAAACAAGCGATATGGAGATTCGGAGACAGATCAAGAATGTAATACCATTGCAAAACAAGGCCTTACTGCACAGAGCTCTTCCTGTGTGTCAGAACCACATATCCTATCAAAGTCTGTAATTATAATACAGTGAAATTGAAAATAGAACCCCGGCAGGCTTCTATTATTGTCCCTGTGGGATGTTGACAAGCCTAAGAACCCACCAATAGACTGGCTGCGCACTCCACGATTATGAATGGGTCCCTCACCTTTGGCACATAGCTGCAGCTCCTCTACAAACACACGCACATCATGTGCAAGTCAACTGCTTTTGGTGAGCCCGCAAGTGAACAGTGTTGAAGCAACAGATGCAAGAGTGTGCCATAAAGAAACAACCTAATTGCAAACTGACAAATTGTGAAGACACGCAGAGATACAAACCATCCAAATAAACTGAAATAAATTACTGCTAACACAGCCAGAGCTCCTACAGAGGATCCAACGGTTGAAAGAGGATCCAGCAGGTTACTATGGCATGCCAGGAATCTGCTGGAGGAATATTAGCCGGCCTGTCTGAGCATGTAGAGCTTCAAGTGCCCTGATTGTTCCACCTCACTCTCCCCCTTTTCTCCGTACCTCGATGAAAAGATTGAGCAGGAGGGAGAAGACGGAGAAACGTGAAGGGACAGAACAAGAGATGAGTGTGTAAAGCTACTCAAGAGAGACCGGATGTGTTTGTGTGTGTTGCTGTGGGAGGGCTAGTGCCTTGTCCAGTTCAGCATTAATCCAGCGCTAAGACAAAGTGCCAAAGGCTTTAGACAGATACTTTGGGGGAAGTAAGAGACAGACAGGGCCACAGCGACACTGCTATGCAAACCAGCAATGTGGGTCAAACAAGACAGAAAAAGGGAGACACGGAGTGGTAGAAAAGGAGATATGTAAAGAAAATGTTAGAAGAATGAAGGGGCGGGGGGGCTTCTTTTTCTTTTCTCACCCTGGGCCAACAAGCATGAATAGTTCCATGTCTGGTTCAGCTGACAGACCAATACATTACAAGAAACAGCCTTTCAAACACGCCATCCAGTGTCTCTCCCTCTAGGTTCAGTCACAGCTTTGTTGTAAGGGACTGTTTGACTTTGGGGCCACATCAGCTCTTTTAACTGCAGCGCTTAAGTGCAGTTATAAATATTTTAAACCAATGAACGACTGATTCTGCATGCAGGCTCGTTACCTGATTGATTTTTGACAGGAAAGATTGACTCTCCTGCAAGTTGCATCAGTAGAATAATATAGAAGAAGCACTGCTGCATCCTGTTCTGTTGTTCAGTTTTCGACAGACAGTAGCCTAAATCAATAAGACAGAATGCCGGGTGAGAGAGGGGGGAGAGGGGGCTTTATATAAATCAATCAGGCCGCTTGTAGCTTTGGCATGCCAGGCTAGTGATTGACCTTGACAGTGTCTCTCCTTCCCTGTCTGATGCTCCAGTGTCCAGTTGCATTTCAAGGTTGATTGAAAACCTGCAGTCTCCAGAACAATCCCAGCATCCCACAGGGCAGGAATGACTGATGGGAATTGTAGTTTTTTTTATTCCTCCATTCTTCCCACATAAGACAGGTGGACTGACCTCTGCCAGTTCTTTTGCTGCCTCCAAGTACCTTGCAACAAAATGAACCCAAAGACGGGATGAACAAAATAAGCATCATCCACATAACACATCATCTTGTAAACAAAACAATTTGGTATCAATGAATGTGCATTGTATGTGAGACTATGTGGTTCAAACTGGGGCAAAATAAGACGATGAGAAACAAATAATTAGGCTTAGGATTACAGAAGCCCTATCAGTTATAAAACGGCAACTATAAAACACATAAACCTCCCAAGTTCCTCCTCCTGCACCCTTATACACCTCACTTCTCATAAACTAAAGCTGTTAGAGGAGTGTGCTAATATCAAACCACACACAAACCCCCAACTACCTCTTTCTGACCCTGTGACCTTCAATGTAAATATACGCAACTACATTAACCACAGCGGCAAAAAGAGGGAGGGGAGGTGCAGGGGAAGTCGCTATGTGAGAAGAAATGAGAAAGCATATGTGAGGAGAGGCATGCTAAAGCGTGAGAGAGGAAAAAAGCAACAGAACAATATAAGCGAGAGAGAAGAGAAGGCTAAGTGTCAACATGCCCTTGAGCATTGCTCCTCCAGCTTGGTAGCATATTCTACCGAGTATATAACTGCATAACCAAATTGCCCAATGCTTTGCATCAACGGAAAGTTTGCGTGGGAGCTGATTCCGCTGACTTTGTGCAACACCTTCTATGGTCTGGGCCTACCCTTGTCAAATAAACACAGTGAATGGGGCTATCCTCTGCACGAAAAAAAAAAAGTTGAATCTCCTCAAAAGCTAATAAATGTCAACACTGTAAGACACGAAAAAGGTCTGGAGATTGATGTAAAGTCAAGACGGCTTATTTTATCTGAAGGGATAAGCACCATTTACCTCCATATTTCAGTTCAGCAAGCTTTAAAGCGCTACTTAAATGGAAACTTGTACTATTACTAAAGAATTTTCTTGCTAGTCCAGTTCATTTCTTACTACTTATGGGGAGCGTTATCAGTCACTCAAGATAAAGTCTCTGTAAATGTTGTGCTTGTGTTTGCTTTGAAGCTAAAAATTCCAAATTATTCTGTTGAATCACGCAATGAACTTGACAAGCTCATTCCTGCTGTGTTGTCCTAATCTGCTGCTGTTGCTATATTAGGGTACATGGTGTTGTTCTCTGCTGTGCTTCTCTCTTCTCCTCTTCCCTGCAGCTCTGTTGTCCTTCATCAGGTCATCGAGACAGAATCGCTGGTGTTGGGTTTCCTTCAGCTCTTTTCTATGTGTGCATCTTTGAGGACAAACGTCTCGACCTCGTCGACTTCGTTCCAACACAGCAACTTGCTCTTCCTCCTTCAGCAGCTCTACAGTCTCTTCTCCTAGTGCTTCCCTTCTCCCTTTATCACTCACGAGTATGCTTTTCTTGCATTTTCTGTCTTGTCTTACTTTCACCTGATCTCTTTGAGAAAGTCAACACTGCTCGGCTTCCAGCAGCTGAATCAGCGCTAACGCTGTTCTGCCAGCCGGGCCCTGCATCTCTATCTCATCCTCACCTCCCTCCCCACTCTTTCTGGCACGTCACATTAAGTGGCCATTCACAGCAGCACTGGCGTCTCGCTCGAACTCTGACATCACACCGCTTTACATGAGCTTTCAATTCCTGTCCAAATAAACCCGATAGGTCCCCGGCTTGATGGCAGGCAGAAATGCAGCAAACTGGAAACAAGGAGATAGTATCGCTTGGCTGATCCGTTTTTGTTTTTTTCTTTTTTTAAAGATAAGTGAATGAGAAAAGAAGAAGTAACATGCTTCTTTCTGCACAGTGACAATGTGCGAGATAACAGAGTTGGAATTAATTAACTGGCTTCTAGTTAAAGTGAAATGTTCTGCTTTTAATTGCCCTCTTAATGACCTGACAATCTGTGTAAACTGAGCCCAATTCTGAGGAGCATATTTGAAAGTGAACAAGTCGAGGCAGTGTGGGAGGACCTGAAGCCCCACTCGAGGCTACCGAGTGAACTTTTCACTGAGGTGTTTCAGTATCGCTATCACCGCCATGGATGATGAAGAAGCAGGCAGCTCATCTCAGATCTCTCTGTCACGTCACGTGTAAGCAAATGTAAAGCTAAGACAAAGTGAATCATATACTGAACCTTTATATATTTATACTGAATCTTCAAAGCCAGTTGACCATTTTTAAAATAATATTAAATATGAATATAAAGAGTTATCGCTGCCTCACCATTTTTTCAGATTAGTGTACAACTGCATGACAGCTACTACAGCAGTTGTAGTTTTAAAGAGTGACTTCTTGCTTTACAACTCTCCTTTCAATTCCCAAGGTTATCATATCTTTGCACATATAAAGACAACTGAGTTGACAGAAGAAATAGATTACTTTCAGTTTCTGTGCGTATTATAACCTCAGAGTAACCTTCTGCATTGTACCCTTCACACTTTCACACGTCAGCCTGGACAAAGAGTAAATACATACCCACATAGACTAGTTACCACCAAGAAGAAAGGTGAGATTTTTTTCCTAAGATATAATACCAGCTATTGGATAGTCACTGGTCCACTGAGAGGTCTTAGGCAAGAAGTTAAATTTCCACATGCTGCTTTGTCACAAAACTGTCAGTGATGCAGAGTGGGCATTTCTGGAGGAAGGTCACCTAAGGTTGAAATCTGCTAGATTTCAACTAGATCACTAAGCAGAAAACTCAGTATAGTGCTCACATAAACCAAGCTATGTCATTTGGACATTTGAGAACCTAACCAATGTTTAATGATGACTGTTTAATAAGACAGCTTTATCCTGATTTAGTGCACTCAGTCTGTTGGAACAAATACAGCCTAAGTAACAAACGTCACACTAACAAACACTGATGTTAAATCGTGGTCATAAATCCAATGAGCGTATGCACAGATTCTCAAATATTAAAGCACTAACCGTGCTGAACCCGATCACAAATACCAGTCAGAAATAAACTGGCAAGGATACAGCATACAGGGTAAATGATCTACTCAGGAAAAAACAAAAAACAAGAAGTTTGCAGCCAGGAATTACAGATTAACTACTCAAATGCACGCAGTGGTTTCACAGATGGTGGTACAATTAAATATGAACAGACAGGATTTTAATAACACACATGCTCACTTTGACCTACAGCGTAACATCCTTTTGGCATGGCCGGACCGATCTAGCCGACCCAACGGCCCTGTAAACTTTGCCCTTGGTTCTGCTTCAAGCCAACTCCAGGAAGTGCTAGTCACTGATCTCCCAAGGTCATTCAACAGAGGAGAGAAACCAGAGAGGGGGGAGGGAGAGAGAGAGAGAGAGAGAGAGATGAAAGAGAGAAGGGGAGGGAGAGGGGGAGGATAGAAAAGAGCAGGTTTTCCAACTTTCACTGCAGCACTTAAGTGACCCCAGCGGTTCAGGCTGTGTACTTTCTAAGAAGCCTAATGAAAACACCACATAATGTACATACTAGCTGTGCTCTGCATCCCGCTTTTAATTTCACTTCTTCTTGGGCCTCTCCTTCCCTCTGCATGTTTCCCTCTCGGTGCGGTTGGAGAGACTGCAGGAGTCAATCTCACATTCCTATGACCTTCATCCAATGCTAGGCCCAGTCTCTGGCGTCAAAGTAGGCAGGGCTAAAGGCACCTGCATATTACAAGCTGGGATACGGCCGACTCCCCCTGGGTGCCGACACACACTGTCTTTAGTGAAAGTGTACACATGTAAGAGCACAGTGGGGGCGGGAACAAAAGAGTAAACCTACAGTTGCTGTGGTCACCTTAGTGATGAGCGGAAAGGCCTAGCTATGTGCAAGAGGTTTGCGTGTTTTGTTTACTTTTTCCTCCCCTGGTGTGCCTATGGTTCGGCGTAGGGTACAAATGATATTCAAATCTCATGCAGACCGCAGCCAACCCTGGGATTTGGCAGCGAGGGCTTCAACTTAAGAGTTATTTTTAGTCTCCCTCTCTCAATCTCCCTCGCTTGCTCGCTCTTTCCCCAACGGGACTTTGTTTTGTCAAAGGCACCAATGGAAACTTTCAATTAGGGAGAAAAGGAGGAGAGAGGCACGGAGTCAGAGGCAAAGTGAGAGAAGAGGCACCCTACACAGATTCCATCAGAAGAGATCAGATCAAACTATTAGCCTCCTCTGCCCCTGAAGCTGACAAGCTGACAGTCTGTCCCATCTGGGTGTCTGGCACTGTCATGGTGAGGGGCCTGGGGGGTCCTGAGGTCACTGCAACCAGCTGCACCTCCACCCCTGGGGACTACTGACGCCAACAGTGACAACAACTCTCAGAGATATCCTCTCCACATATACAGCAAATCTTCTTTTAACATGGATGTCTTCTTTGCTGCTGAACTCTGCGCTACCATCTGCCATGAAAATGTTAATTGGGACATTAGGAGAAAAAGTGGGGTCTTGGCCAGCGACCCCAAGACTCTGTGGCCACAGGGCCCAAGGACACCACCGAAACAGCAGAGTGCATCTAAGCACAAAGTCAGTATCTGGCTGCCGTGCACTTCTATGCAGTCGATAACGGGGCACTGAGTACGTGAAGCGTGTTTGTGTGTGCACACTGGTCCAAAGTCAAAACAAGTGACATCCAAAGACAGAGCAATAATGCAAAGTGAAATTCGACGATGAAAACATAATGCAAAACAGCTATATTATTTTATGAACACCGTTCTGTAAAACCATATAGCACTGAAATGACAAATGAAGGACGTAGATGACAGCCATGCACGTAAATACACAAATTGCACAACACCAATCTCCCAAGGTGAGAACTACAGGACAGGTGAGGGGAGGGGGAGGAAATAGGGGGGGAGGGGTGAGGATGGCTGTAAAGGACAGACATCTCATCGTTGCAGAGTGATGGAGAAACATCAAAAAGTGGACTTTTTTTTTTGAAAAAACAAAACAAAAACCAAAGACAACTTAAGGTCTTCTCGCTGTGTATGTGTTCAGCTGTCAGACTTACCCCTGTGCCCTTCATGGTGAACGGCCTGGAGCACAGCAGAGTAGAGAGAAACAGATAGCCCTGTTCAAGTCTCCTTGAAAGCAGCAGCAGAGGCAGCACAGAGGTTGACAGAAAAACTCTCGTGCTCCTTCACTTCCTTCAGTCCCCCTGATCGTATCAACAGACAAAAGGCACTGTGGCTGGCTTTAAAAAGGCTTTAAGCCCGGACACAGAGCGAAGAGTGAGCCCCCCCTTCTTCCACCCCTCCCTCTTTTCTCTCTCTCCCCCACTCTGCCTTTACACATTGCCCCGTCTCCCAATGTCCTCTTCCAACCTAGACATACAACCCCGTCTCTGCTGTTTCTCTTCAGCCCAATTCCCCTCAACTCGCTGACCTTCTCTCTCTTTCTCCTCCTTTTCTGCTCCCTAACCCTCCTCCTCCTCTCTAGCCGGCGACCCATGTGTTTGTCTTTGAGGTGACCCCTGGCCTGGTGCAGAGAAGAAGGTGAGAAGGAATAGAAGGACCAGCACAGCGGCAGGCAACAGAGCAACAGCAGGCAAACAGTACAGCGGCACTCCCGACTCACAGACAAAAATCTCTAGCCTCCTTCCCCTTTAACATTCAAGAGTAATCAATCTAGCATGCTACATGATACTCAAACCCCGCCTCACAGCCAGCTCCCACCTCACTCCGATACTCGAAACCAATGAGACAACTGTGTCCTCACACACTATTGGTAGCCACACACACCAATCAGCTCTGACAAATCCCTTGCTCCTCCTCTTTCCTCTGCCCAACCCCCTTTTACCGACAGCCAACTTCCTGCTCTAAGTTACCTTGAGCTGCAGGATAGGGGTCAGGGAAAAGAAAAGAGGAAGAGAGAGTAGATATGAGTATAGATGGAAAAGAGCAGATAAAGTTGTGGAAAGCTCTGCAGGGAGTGCGTGAGGGTGTGCTGGTTGTGGCTTGCCTTGCCATTGTCTGTCCTCAAGCGGTCTCTACTTCTCCTGCTGCTGGACGGATGAGAAAGCTTCCACGGGCTGCTCTCTGACAACTGCTCTCTGCTTATTTACAATGTCAAACTAAATGTCTCCCTAAGCCCCGCCTGCGCTCTGCTTGTACAGGCTGATGGCAATGTGATGCAGGCAGCTAGGCGGGTCCCTTATTGGCTGAACCAAGTGCCAGAATTGATGCCGCATGTTGCATCCACATGATTTAAAGTACAAAAGCATACTAAGCAGACTCCCTGTCTCATACCTGTGCACGGTCTTACATGCACACCCACACACATGCACATTTTGTCCTTGCATTCTCAGTTATCCTTGCTCACAGTCACAGGTACACAATGAAAACATCTAACCTCCAGCCAGCCTACCTCTAACAATGAGATCACGTCACTCTTAATATTATTCTAACAGAGGAACAAATATGTCTACATGCATGGTCATGCATTATTTATTCAAAATATGAATTAGCTACATGAACTCCATTCAACTCATTTTTTGAGGCAACTTAATGCAACCACTATAAATCCCATGACATCTTACACAGTGTCAATGAAATACACACAAACTATTCTGTGCAAAACAAATCAATGGAGAGCCTTTGTACAAAATGGAACAATCAGCTGACTAGATAGCAGTTGTGGAAGAAGGCAGAGAGAAAAAAAAGAGAAAAAAAAAAAGAGAAAGAGTTCATTTGACTCTCATCCTATTTGTGGATAAACAAGAATTAAGAGATATGGGTGAAAACCCATAAACAAAGACAATGTTGTCTTGACCCCAAAAACTGTGCTCACAGCAACTTCCACAATGGTAACGTCATCAAAAAAAACATGTCAGCAATGTCACACAATGTCCTTCTTGTTAAGTCTCCATTGCTTAAATGTGCATACTTTCGACACAAAAACCTTTAGTTTGCAACTCAAGAGAGTGATTTTAGTACTCATGTGCACAACTCATGATGTTTAATGCACCACCTACGATGTGAATGCTTCTACTTCTAATGGGCAAACCTGTTAAAAGCTTAGAGAGTAAACTGCTGAGATGCGACCAAGTGGCGGTGCAGCCCGAAGGTTAAGCTTTAATAAAAAATTTAAAAAAACATACAGACTGTAGAAAGGAACACATCCAGCTACAAAAGTCTGGAAAGATAATAAACTGCCCTATCAATGAAAAACCGTGGTGGGGGTGGAGTGGGGACCGGAAGGATGGAGAAGGACAGAGAGGAGAGTTGCTACAGGATGGGAGGGGTAGAACAAGTGGAGGGAGGGCGAGAGCACAAGATAGACTCAAGAGAAACAAAGCTAAATGTTCCCTTTACTATTTTTGTGAGGAGCATGGGGACTAGAGCAGGTACTACAGACATCCAGTTAATGATTAGAGCAGAGCTGCACAAAGACTAATCTCTCCACTGCTGCTGCCATGCTCGAACAGCTCTCTGTAGCTGCATTCAGCCTACCCAAAATGCCTCAGTAATGACACCTGGCAAGGTCACCGCAGAAATGAGACCTTCCCATGACCTGTACTGCCCATAGCAGGAACATGTTTGCTTTCTCTGACGCTGTTTAGAGATAAACATGCACCAAGTAGACGTTGGGTTTCATAAACACAGCAGCTACCCTGAGGGTAGCCAGGCCAAGCATTCACCTGCAAACATGGAAAAACACATGAGCACCTGCAAAACGACATGGTAAGCTGGGTGACTTGCACACAGCTTACTTAAGCTGTCTAAGGTGTTCTAATATCCCAGGCTTTTTAAACATGATCTCAACTGCTCAATTAAACCTACACACAAATGATGACGTAATGCATACCTCCTCTAGAGAGATAAAGTTTACTAAGCTGCACACCGTTTTTGCCCCGCTGATAAGAGCTGATTAAACTCTCATATTCTTTATTAAGTTCTTATTTTCGTGGGAACACAAAGAGACTATTGTTTTTTTGCACACAGGTCGTAATGAGAATGGGGTGAATGTCTGTTAGGTTTAAAGCATAACTAAACTAAATATTAACTTGGTGAAGCTTCATGTTGTGTGACTTTGTTTGGTTAGCATGGTTGAAAATACATTTGTATTCATTAATTGAACACTGTGTGAAGATTTTTTTCCCCCCCAAGTACTAAATAGTGGAAACAAAGGCATGATATAGTCATCACAGGGAATTCACACGAAGACTAGAGCAGCTTGGCTCTTTAACACCCCAGCATTTAGCACGGAGTTTGACTTCAAAAAGTCGCTACATTATAAGGTGTTTGGGTTTAACACAGAGGCTAACAGGAGCCACTGAATTCAATGCTATATTCAACGCTAGCATACGGAAGCCGGTATATATTCGTCACACAAAGGATGCTAAATAAACTACAAAATACTGAGATGCACTGTAGTGCTGTGTATCCACTGTGAAATGCTTAACGGAGTAGGCGTAGGGAGACACATGCAGCATACTAGCTAATAGGATGGTCACTGCCGACGGTGACTTTATGCTAACGTTAGTGGAGTTAATGTTAGCTTGCTGGGGATACAGACTGATGAGCGCTGTACAGCTCAGCGTGTGTAATTTTAATTGCCAGCTGACAGCGAGCCCTGCCAACATATGAAAGTTTGCAAATGTTTGCAATGCTAGGAAGAAACAGTCTAACCAATAAAGACAACGTTTGGATCTGTCCTTCAGACCAATCAAACCTCGGACTAGATTCCACCAATCAAGGTTTTTAGGGCTAAGTTCGTTCTGCAACTGGCGCCATTCGGGGTCAGGAGCAAATAGCCAGTGTGTCTGACAATCGCTCGGATATGAGCCAAAATGGTGGACACAAAACATCAGTTTCCTGAGCGTCCGTGATCCTTTCAGCGGGCCACCAATAAGCGCCTCAGAGAGCGGGGAGGGAAATGGCGCCTATGTTCATCTTCCAAAACAATCGTCTATTGGTCAAGAACAGCAAATGAAAAGAAGCGAAGTAATTACCGCTACCTCGAGCCAACACGGACAACTTTCATGTAAACACTCCACATATAAATGAATTTTAATTTCTTACTCACTTTCTTTAACGGGTTCGAAGTGAAGTCCAGCTCAGCGTATTATTTATTTTATTTAGCCTGCAAGGGGAAACAAGATGGCTGCTATTCGAACCGGAAAGAGTCTAACGCGATGACGTAGAGGTTACGTTCCCTGAGAAACAGCGTCAGTTTTTTTTAATTATTTGATTCACTAAACAGTTAATTGCTCAGGTAGTCCTCATTTATAGTAAAATTAGCAAATTGACTTGGAAAAAACAACAAATGCATTTTATATATACACAGATACACAAAATGAGCATCGGAATGGGGGAAAAGGTGATTTCATTGACTTTGAATGAGGCATGGCTGCTGGTCTGAGTATTTCAGAAACTGCTGATCAACTGAGATCTTCACAGTCAACCAAAAAAATAAATATATCAAATCACTTTTATTGTCACATCACATGTGCAGGTACACTGGTACAGAACATGTGAGTGAAATTCTCGTGTGCAAGCTTCATCCATATATCCAGTGAGTTCTCTGAGAGAAAATGCCTTGTTGATGTCAGTGGTCAGAGAACAGACTGTTTCAAGCTTAGAGGAAGGCATCTGTCACTCAAATAACCACTCATTAAACACAATTTATGCAGCAGCGTATTTCTTAATGCACAATAAGTCCAACCTTGAAGTAGATGAGCTTTAGCTGCAGAAGATCACATTGGGAGCCACTTGTGTCAGCTAAGAACAGGAAACTGAGGCTACAATTTGCCCAGGCTAAGCAAAATTGGGGAATAGAAGATTGTAGAGCAGTCAGTGTTTTCCTCAGAGTCTCACTTTCTGCTGCAACATTCAGATGGTAGGTTCAGAATTTGGCATAAATATGAAAGCCAGTGTTCCCATCTTCTAATGGCTGCAGCCAGCATGATAAAGCACCACAAAGCTCAAATGATCGCAAATTAATTCAGTTAATTCAAAATAAATTCACTGAAAATATGAAATACAATGATGCCAATAACAGTATTACTTCTCTGGTTGTTGGTCAGTAAGAAATTTGAAAAAATGAAATGATTACAACTGCGGTAGACAAGTGTTTTAATTCTTACACCAGATGTCAACATTTGATCAACCAAGGTCTTTGCAAATATCCAACACAAACAACAACAAAAAAATAGAAAGAAAAATGAAGGGAAAGAAATTTAAACCCAAATCACATTTTAAAATCTGAACTTTACCTTAAAACACTGCATTACAATAAATGATTATTAAGGAGATTGCAGTGATGACATTTATTTCCTTGCCACAAGTTCCAGGAGGGCGGAGGTGATTTTGTCCAGGTTGTTGGAGTACCGGGGTCCTCTGGGCATCCTGGATTCTTGATCCATGTGGAGGGGAGGTGCAGAAGAGTGAGAGTCGAAAAACTCTCCAACAGGAGGCTGGTAGTCACGAGAGGGCAGGGATTCTGGAAACCTTTCAGGATAAAAGGGCGGCTCATCTAAGCGGTTTGTATGAGGAGTTCCAGATTCCTCTGACAAAAAAAAAAAAAAGAGGAATGAAATTGAATTACATGAAAGAAAGTGGAATCAGCCACACTTCCTCTGACACAGGGAAGCTGAATATACAACTTATTGTTTATTATCTTATTTAACGATGCAATCAAATTCATTCAGTACATAAAATCAAAAGCTCAACTTGGACACCTTTGCAAACTATGCCTCATTATACATAAATTCAACTAAACTATCCTAAAAGGATACCACAACAAAACTCAAAATACATTCAAAGAAGAAAATCCCATCAAATTTCATCAAAACCTCAAAGTTCATAAGTTTATTTTATTAATACATCAATAAATTGGCATTCGACCCATACAACAACACATACAGCACAATTCTAGACAAAAGGCATGATTATACCCCTCCCTCTCCTGTTTATCACACCTGAACCATGCCTGTTGTTAATGTGATGAACTATACCTGTGGTTATTCTGCTACAGACACCTGTTCATGTGGAACTGACTTGAAAGCACAGAGTTGGGAACATCACAGCCTGCAACTGTGCAGATAAATTTGTTTTTAACTGATGAGATATAGAAAGGATTTTGAAATGAAAAAAGCAGCCAAATGATGATTTAAGCCACGGAAGAGGATCTTTCAGCAGGACAATAATTCACAGCTGCCTGCTGAAAGAATATATTCTAATAGAGGGGCCCTCCCAGAGCCCTGACCCAAATCCCACGCATCACCCGAGGGATACCATGGAGAAAATTACGTCAGCTGGTCGAAGCTCTGGTGTGGATGAACTGAAAGCCTTGCTGACTGGAACATTAGGGAAAACTTTGCAGGTATTATAGAAACTGATCTACCCTACCTTTCTGGTATAAGCAGCTCTACTAATGGATGAAAGAGTCTTTAAAGAAGCAACTATTGAGTGGCCATCTACTGTCTGCCTTTATTTTGAGCTGTACTTATTTTTGCCTAAAATCTTTCAAGAAAATTATGCTCGTGTTATTTTTATCGATGTCTAACTTTTATAAAAGACTATTGAACCCTAATGGGCTTAAATAAACTGCACTGTGCACATACCTTCAAAGCGGCCTCTTTTTGAGTATCTGGAATCTTCGTGTGCAGGGGGGGGATAAACATTGTGCCGCTCCTCTGGAAGATGCTCACGCTGCCTCCAGTCTCTGAAGTCGAGGTCTTCTGGCTGTCTGTGGTGCGAATCATCTCTCATGGTCCTTTCGAACGGCGGCTGTCGAGGGTCCAGCTCCATGTTGCTGTAGTTTCTGGGGATCCCTTCTCGACCGTGGCTGTTCTGCTACCATGACAAAACCATATTTTTTGTTAATATAAGCAAAGTCTTTGTGTTCTTCTACTAATATTATATTAAAAAGACAGGCGGTGTGCAGAATGACACATACCACAGCTTTCTCCATCTTTTTTGTTTTGAATTCTTTAAGCAGGTTGCAAAGTTTACTTTTCAAGAAGTCAGCCTCTTCAGCATTCTCAATTTCAATGTTGCTCTAAGAAAATGTGAAAGGGAAAAAAAACAACACACTGAGAACTCTTTGAGTGAATAGTTGCATAACAA